AGGAAGGAAGGAGAGAGGATAAATATAAACTGACTCACTCTCTTTCTCTCAGGCCGGCCCTCCTCAGACTCCCTCCCCTTGGGGGCGGAGCCGCGGGTCGACGTGTCCCGGCTGGACCTTCGGGTCGGACGGATCCTCAACGTTCGCTGCCACCCGCTGGCCGAGGGGCTGTCCATCCAGGAGGTAGACGTGGGAGAGAGGGCCCCCCGCAGGGTCGTCAGCAAACTGGGAGGGAAAACGCAACCGGAGGAGGTAACACACAAGTTCATCTTTATCTTTTCGTTATTTCTTATTGTTTTTACATAGTATGACGCTATATATGATATATATTATAATATTTTTATTTGAATACTTTCTTCTTCCCTTTTGCTGTAGTCTTGACTAAATGTTCTCACTTTCCCCAAAATTCTCATGCAGCCATAAAATGTCCCCATTTTTCAGAAAAGTCCTCACTTTGCTGTTAAGTACTCACAAAATGTCCTAATGTCCTAACTTTTATAAAACGTATTCTCCCTCTCTGCAGCTCCAGGGCGGTCTAGCTGTGTTGCTGTGCAACGTCAAGGCCCGTAAAGTGAGGGGCGTGGTCTCTCAGGCCCGCCTCCTCTGTTGCTCCGCCTCTGATGACTGCACAGAGCCGTTGGCCCCGCCCACAAGCTCCACCCCTGGAGACAGAGTCACCTTCCTCAACTACCCTGGTAACAATAGTTACAAAGATGAAGACTGAATTAATTAAAAAATCTGTTAATGTATATTTTAAATGGCTGCCATGATAATTAGTCTGTCCTCAATGAGAAAGCATAAATTAATTTGTTTAGTTGGTGGAGGCTTTTTACCAAGCTTGAAACAGCTCTGGCCAGTCAGAATGGCTGGTTTGGTTAGCTGGCTCGCTAACACAGGGTTATGATTTAAGTACTTACTTTGTGTGATTAAGTTTATCAAATTATCTTTGTTTGTGTTGAAACTATCAACCAATCAGGTCGACTAGCTCCAAAAGTAGCTTTGGGGATTTTCTGCAGTGATCCTGAACGCCGCCCTCTGTGTGCGCAGGTGATCCGGACCGAGAGCTGCAGTCCAAGCAGAAGGTTTGGGAGCTTCTTCAGCCAGACCTGCAGGTGGACGGCAGGGGCGTGGCCAACTATAAAGGCTGCCGGTTTGAGGTGAAGGGGAAGGGACTCTGCAGGGCCCCGTCCTTCACCAACTGCACCATCAGATAGACACAGCGAGGGGCCACATCGTACAGGACAACACACACTGCCCAAAGGATGCTTTTATTGTGAAAACCTGCTGCTGGCGCACACTTTGATAGTTAGTAGCTAGTGCTGTTAGATAACAAAAGAAGAAGAAAATAAATAAAATTCATTTAATTTCAGTTGCATCACTTTTATTTGTTGATTATAAAAAAGAAACCACAATAATCTGTGTTTACATATAACCTGAAGAAAGGAAGTCCCCACTCTACAATGTGTGTTTAATCATCAGATTTTAAACTTAGAATTCAAAATAAACTGTAATCCGCCGAAGATGTGTATAGCGCAAAGAATAAATAAAAATAATAATAAACGACAAGTTCTTGTTTAAAGTCCAGAGTGAGACGTCCTGATGGTCAGAGCTCCGTGATGGTTCCTCGCCGAGAGGCAGAGCAGTCGGTCTCTCAGCGGTCGTCCTCGGATTGACGGCCAACCGCAGCTGTTGTCCAAGAAGAAGACTCCTCCCTCCACCTCCTCAGCCAGAGCTCTCAGCCAATCATTGGCCTGCGTTAGGTAGACTGACTGGTGAAGCCCCGCCTCCTTCAGCCAGTCAGCATACGTGAGAACGAGCAAAGCGTGACGCCGCCATTCAGGACCAAAGAGAGTCTGAACAGACACAAAATACACAAAATACACATAAACATCACATATGGTACAGTGTGTGTGTGTGTGTGTGTGTGTGTGTACTGTGTGCGTGTACCTCAACCTGCTCCTCCAGGTGTGTGTTGCTGTGCGGTCGGTCCGCTCTCACAACGAGCACAAGAACGTGCACGCCCTCAGGGAAGAGCTCCTGCACGCCGCTCTGTGGGCGGGGCACAGCAGCAGGGGGCGTGTCAACCACTCTCAGTGTGAGGTCGGACTCCGCCCCCTGTCGTCTGAAGTACCTCGGGAAGTTTCGGCTGCGGAGCTCGTGGTTGGTCGTCACGGAAACATCAGAAACGCAGGCGCCTGTTTGGAAATCCTCTCCACCTGCCGAACACACGAATTCATGAATAAAAAGTCTAGTTCAACCCCACACGGACAAATATTCAGTAGGTAGCATGAGGCTAGCATCGAAGTTCCAGTAGGAACGGCTTTATGGCGAGTTTTGGCTCCGCCTCCGTCATCCACGCATCTGAATTCCCACCACCAGAATGCGTCACGTTAATAACCAGCTGTTTGAGGTTTAGCTGGAGACCATGTTTAACTTACTGCTGTTTGTTGTTGTAAGCTAGCTTGTTTGTTTGTTTCACTGTAGTTTCTTATGTAGAAGTTCTTTTCCCCAAAAGGGGGCGTGGCCTTGGCGCTAGGTCAGGCTTGTTAACCTAAGAACTACTGTAGCTGGCAAGCTAACAGCTAACTGCAGCTAACAGCAGGAACATGCTAAAAACAAGCTCTCTAAGCTTCTTTCTGTTTTTCTCTGTAGTGTACAGTTTTACCATTTCATAAACAGTTATAAACAGAATACAAGCCTGTTAGCTGGGTTTGCTAACTTATGTATTTATTTATGAAGTCCTCTAACCAACAGTTTATGCTGCGACTGAGGAGGTTCAGTAAAACTGGTTCCTAAATGTTTTAACCACACACATTTACGTATTCTCAAGAGTAGAAACGGGTGAAGTTTAGTTGTTTAATCATATTGTTAATGTTGGCAAAATTTGGCGAATCTGTAGAACTAACTGACCAATCAGAGCATTCCCCACAGAGCTCCTCCCACTCTGCCGTTCGCCTAGCAACAGCACATTCAGGGCCAGAACATTCCGCCCACTGTCGCCGAGGGTTCCGAAGGGGTCGTTGCCATAGCGACCGTGTTCCATTTCGACGACTGGAAATACACAAAAATAAAATGTTTCATTACTTTACTAAACTTCTTCTTTAAATCATTATATACATTATATTTTGAAAGCTTTATTGTGAAATATTTATTATTCCTTCTGTATCAGTGACTTTATTTACATTGTTTTTAATTCCATTTGTGCTTTTTTCAGGTTGGAATAAAAGCTTTAAATAAAATGTCTGACTAGCTTCCAGGAAAAAAAATTTTAATTCCCCAGAAAGCAAACATTAAGTGTTGTTTAAATTCTTTAAATATTTATTCGGGCATTGGCGCTTTGTTGATTTTTTGAAGTTTAAAATCTAATTTTTAAAGTTAATCAATGACCCGTAAGTTTGTATTTTTAAAATCAGTTTAATCAGGACAGAGGTTTGTAAATATAAAGCACTGACTTGATTTGGAAACCTCAAAAAAATTACAGCAAGCTCTAGTTACCAGATATATGTCATAATCTAGGTCTAAAACCACATCCTGTTGCACTAAAGACCTCAACTGACACTGTGCAGTAACAGCAGCATCTGAGTGTCCCAGGGTAAAAGATTATTTTACAGTAAAAAACTGGCAGCTGTGGTTG